AGGCAGAGAGAGGGAGCTGCCAGTGGACGAGGTTGAAAGACACCTCCCCTCCCCAGACACAACATTCGCCCGCCTACCTAAACAAGATCTGGTGAATAACCTCACCATCCAATATCACGAATAGATCACGGGCTGCTCTTCCCCCCTCCCCACTCCAGCACACAGAGACACGCACATCACATCACATTCCTATGGACAGACACGTGTGCAGGTAGGTGGCTATCAGAGCTGTGGGGAGCTGGGCAGGGAAGCCGAAGCGAAATGGCGTGGATGCGAGGCTTGCGTAAGGGGGGGGTACCTACGCTCTGTTATCTCTCTCTCTCTCTCTCTCTCTCTCTCTCTCTCTCTCTCTGCCTCTGCCTCTCTCGCTCGCTTTGGTCATACTGTGAAAAGAATGGCAGCTTTTCAGTGTGTAGAGCACGGGAGGAGGGGGTATAAGAAAGTCTCCCTTCTGTGTTTGTGGATCTGGGGTGGGAGAGCCGCTCTCTGCCGGAAGAGGGGTGGTGGTGTGCACAGACGTGGAGAAATAACTGCTTGTCCTGACAGAGGTGTGTGTGTGGGATGATGGGTCAGTTATTGAATGGCAGGAAGACCTGTAGGTGGGAAGCGGTGCTCTAGCCTCTGGGAGGTCGGATCCGATTTGCCAGGTGACCACTGGAGAGGGCGCTTTCGAGAGGTGGACCCCCACACTTCCCGCGAAGGAGAGTCATTAGTGCTTTTAAGGATCGAAGTTTATTGTATGTGTGTATAAGTTTATTAGAGCATGAAAAGAATAAACTACAGCGCTATTCCTCTCCTCCCCCCCTTCCAATATGCTCTGGCGAGGTTGAAAGCAGATGAAGAAGGAGAGAGAGGGGAGCCTTTGTTGTGGTGATCTAAAGATGTGAGTTGACCCCTCTCGGAAGACGGGATTGCCAGATTCAAGGCTGGGAGCGGGAAGGGCAGTACAGACTGGGATGGTTGCGGTTGTGTAGAAAGTACAGCTTCGAGCGCAGTTAGGGTGAATGGGGAGGATGGAGCTTGTGTGAAACGGGAGCAATGGTGAGATGGGGTGCGGACTCCAAGGGACAGCTCTACCTGTAGCCCAAGGGATGTGCGTATATTGTATAACGAGGTGTGTGTGTGTGTGTGCCTTCAAGGAGTAGACATATTGTGGATGCATATAAGGAGGAAGGCATGCACGTGTGGTTGTGTGAAGCTGGACGGGTATTATAATATGAAAGTGCCTCTGGAAGAGCGGGGCCCCCTCCATTTTTACTCGGACGTCGTTCCCGTTGATTCCAGTGGGACTTGCTCGCCCTTAAGCGGGTATGGGAATTGTCGAACGCGTGTCTGCCAGGGCTGGGACAGGCGCCGCGATGGGGCCAAGAAGGGTGAAGCGAAAATGTGTGCCTTTGAAGGCAGCCCAGCACCCAAAGGAAAGGCGCCGGGGGAAAGATCCTCTCCTTTGCCGCCGCCTTCGCCCTATGCATTCGTGCGGACACGCTCCGAGCACCTGCTTCTGTGGCTGGAGTTTTCCGTCCTAGAAGGACCAGCTTCGCTTTACTTTGACCTGTAAAGGCGAGAGAGAGAGAGAGAGAGAGAGAGCGCGAGCGAGAGAGAGAGAGAGAGGAGGAGCAATGTCCTAAAGCCCCGCGAGAGAGGCGGGAAGAGTTATGGAGGGAAAACTTTCTGCTTCGTTACGTGAGGGGCCGATGGGGTCTGTAGAGAAGAGCAGAGGGCAGCGCCCTCCGTGGTGTGGGAGTTCCCCTTCTGCTGCAAGCACACGCGTCCTCCTTGCCGAGTTAACTCGCGTGTATTGGCAGCTTCTTAACAACAGAAAGGGAACTCTGGAGGAAGGAGAGAGACATACACTTGCTCAGGGATCCTACGCGCAGGGGCAGACGTTTGGTACCAAATGCACCCACCATATTTTAGGGCACTGTGTTATGTTATGTTATCCTATACCTCCCGACTCAGGTGGGGCGTTATCTCTCTCTCTCTCTCT